AAAAAAGAAGGATGATAATTTCATTGCATTTAATGTGTAACTGTCCCTTTCTGTTGGGTGGTTCCAGAGTTTTGATGGCTAGGGCAGAGGAGGAAGGTGCTACCTCATTTTGGGTCTTTCCATTCTGAAGGATCAATTTCACTGGAATCCAGATGCCTCCAGTTGCTGATTCCCTTGGCAACGTTGATGTCACCACCAGGTTTTCTCAAAGGGGCACTTACCAGTCGATTTGGGAGCCCATGCTGATGTGGTACCCACTCCCCTATCACCACAGATAGGATGCACAACTTTGATTTCCTTGGGGTGTTGTGATAAATATGGCTGGTGTCAGATGAACCTGAAAGCCAGACCATTGAAGAAAGTTTTGCTTCTGTTTCCTCCAAGCCAGAAGCCGAGAGTCAGACATTGTTAATAAAACAATTCAGTTGGGTATTTCATACAGAATGCATCCTGGTGTAGTGGAAATAGCATGAAACGTCAGTTAGAAAACTGGATCATATCTGGGTTCTATATTCCATACATATCATTTACCCTTAAGCCTATTACTTAAATTGTCTTGAGTCTCAGTTTGTTCACCTGTCAAATAGGGATGACAATATTGACCATGATTATGTTACAGGATTACAGGGAAGAGGAAGATGAGGTAGTAGATAAGACTCTTTTGATATATTATAATACAGTATGGAAGGTGATATTAACCATAAAATAACGTCAAAGCAGTAATAATTCCTGAAAAGATTTGCAGTTAAGAAATGCAAATAGGTTTACAGGTGAATGCTCTAATCGTCTAAATCTGTGCAGCTTATTGCTGCGAATATCCTGACAAATTAGCCTTTTATTCATAGATCATGGGAACCTGCTAAGTCTTTTAGTTAGTTATTTAACCTTCTTTGAGCAGCTTCATGTCTATAGGAAAGAACAAATGCAAAGCAGAGTTCCCATATGCCTGCCCAATGTTTCTTCCCTGTTTCTTTCCCTGAATATTTGCATCTTTCATTAGTGTGGTACATTTGTTATAATCGATGAGCCAATATATATATTATTAACTAAAATCAATAGTTTGGGTTAGGGTTCACTCCAGGTGCTGTGCATTTTGTGGATTTTGACAAATGTATAATGACCTGTATTCACCACTATAGTATAGTTCAGAATAGTTTCACTGCCCTCAAAGTCCCACCTATTTGAGCCTCTCTGCCTCTCTCCTGAACCTCTGGCAACTACGGACCATTTTTACTGTCTTCCTAATTCTGCCTTTTCCAGGATGTCGCATTGCTGGAACCATGCAGTCTGTAGCCTTTTCAGACTGGCTTTTTTCACTTAATTAACAATATATACTTAAGGGTCATCTGAGTGGCTCAGTAGTTTGAGCATCTGACTCTTGATTTCAGCTCAGGTCATGATCTCACAGTTCATGAGTTTGAGCCCCAGGTCGGGCTCTGTGCTAACAGTGCAGAGCCTTCCTGGGATTCTCTGTCTCCCTCTCTCTCTGCCCTTCCCTGTTCATGCTCTCTCTTTCTCTCAAAAATAAATAAATAAATGAACATTAAAAAAGGTAATGTACATTAAGTTTTATCCATGTCTTTTTGTGGTTTGAGTGCTCATTTCTTTTTATCGCTGAATTACATTCTCCTCTCTGGATGTACCAGTTTGTTTACCCATTCACTTTCCAAAGGACATCTTGTTTCCTCCAAGTCCTGGGAACATTAGGAATAAAGCTGCTACAGACACGCGGGTGCAAGTTTTTGTGTGGATAGACGTTTTCAGCAACTTTGGGAAAATACCAAGGAGTGTGATTACTGGATCATACGGTAAAAGTTCATTTAGTTTTGTAAGAAAGCGCCATGCTGTCTTCCAATGTGGCTGTGCCATTTTGCGTCCTCGTCAGTACTGGGTATTGTCAGTGTTTATATTTTGACCATTCTAATATGTGTGCAGTGGTCACTCGTTGTTTTAGTTTGTAAGTCTCTGATAATATATGGTGTTCAACAGCTTTTCATATGCTTATTTGCCATCTTTGGTGAGGTGTCTGCTCAGATCCTTTGCGCATTTTTTTAAACTGGGTTGTTTATTTTCCTATTGTTTAAAGAGATCTTCTTTTATTTTGGATACTAGTTCTTTATCTGGTACTTATTTTGCAAAGGCTATTCTTCCCATTTATGGCTTGTCTTTGCTTTCTCTTAATACTTGTTTCTCTTTAATTATTTAACCTCAACATCACCATCCAAGTCTTTGAAAGTACTACTGACCTTCAGGTTTATGGGTAATAAAAGGGATGAACAGTTCTAAGGCTCCATTCCTTTTCACCATTGACCGGTTTTGCGGTCGAGTGCATTTGTAGATGGGATCAAGTCATCAAGCCCATCAGTGGCTCCATCTCAAACCTCACGTTCTTAACCGGGATCATTGCTGCTATCATCTGAGGGTTGGCTTGCTTGCCGTCTGTCCAAGTTGGCTGGGTCTTGCTGAGCTGATTGGAGCTGCCGACATTTTTGCTGACTGGAGTCATGCTATCTTTGCCAGTTTGCTGGAATAGACACAGACACCGATTGGGTCACGCTGAAGACATTCCTGTCTTGTGAAGCAAGTCTGTTTGTATTTTAGGTTTGCCAGGACTAATGAATTAAAACATTTGGACTCTCCACAACTTGCTGTTTATCAATGCCTCTGACAGAAGGAGGGTTTTCTTTTGCACTTGCTTTTTCTAGAAGCATGACAACATCCTGGCTGTTGGAGAGGCAAGGAAAGGAGAGAGGGGTTGTGGAGGGAAGCGGAACAGCAGGCCCGTGGGACGCGGGGGTCTGGGGGAGAGCAGGTAGCAGTGAGCTGCCCCGACAGCTGTCATTGCTCCTCAGATTGTCAGTGGCTGCTATGCAGCAGGTGCAGCCTGCTCTCTTACTAGGTCTTCACTCCACAAAGGCAACGACTGGCCAAGGCAGCGGCTGGCCCTGGATTACACAAGTGCAGACACTCAACTAAGTGAGGTAAGGCAACAGGTGTGAAAACCGAACTAAACGCTCGGGGCACCGGCAACTGAACCAAAGCTCTGTTACAGCCGAGCGGAGGAATCAGTGGTCCATTTCCTCCAGGCGGTGTGATGAAAAGGCAAGTGGGTTTAGGGGCTCTCCTGGCCAACACCTTGCGGAACTCAAAATCTACCCCACTTGGCTGCTGTCATCCTTCCTGAGGCAGACAGATGTTCTTGGCCGTGGGGGGGGAGGGGCTCTAATGAGCTGTGTTTGTCAATTTCATTTCCCGGGCACTGGAAACCTTGAAGCGAAGTTTCACCTCTTGTGCTTTGTTTCTTGGTGCAGGAAAGCGTTGGGAGATGTAGTCAAAAGAGGAGCACTTCTTGTCCTTAGATGTTAGGATAAAATGGTTTGGTGCTGGTACAGTGCATAACAATAAGGCTTTTTCTTTTAGCTGCAACTTTAAGGGGCTTTTTATTGTTTGTTTTGTCAAATTTGAGACAGTCTGTTCTATTCCCTAGGAACAGGTGGCTAACAAGATGGTTGATTCTAAGCAGAAGAGACTACACAGAAATGTATGTCAGAGCTAAGATAAAACAAATCCTGAGTCAAGTAACAGCAATTTTGTATTACCCTTTTCTTAAGTTGAATGTTTCGTGTTATTACTTTTTTCTAACTTTGAGCGACATGACTCGGAGTGCTTTATGGTTCATTGCTATTTGTAGTTTTAAATGAATGGGCCAAATATGATTCTAACTGGGTGATAAACAGCTGTGGGTTTTTCTGCAAAGCTGGACTAGGTGTTTAATATAAGCTTGTTCTCTTTCCATATCCTGGGTAGGATGATTCCATATGTATGTATGTCTAAGTATACATGTGTGTGTATATAAATGTATATATGCATTCGTGTCTGCTCTATAAATAAGTGTAAAAACAAAATTCACTGTTCTAGACACTATTTTTAGATACAGAAAAGTTATGGGAAAGAGTCAGAAACCTTGCTATGAGAAAATGTCCTGCTAAACAGTTCCCAGAATCTCGAGGAGGATGGTTAAAGAGATGATTTATATTTTGCCATTTTTAGAGACCTTTTCCTTAAAATATCACTCAGTTTTTGGTTTACTGCTTACATGACAAGGCAAGTAGAGAGTTTAGGGAAGCATGATTAAAAATAGAAAAGTTGCATATATGTATTCAAATAATGAAGATAGAATATACATATAACAATATCTTCTCCTTAGTCCCATTGAATGAAAATTATCAAATTCTTGGTTAAAATGTATTTGTGCTAAGTTCTGTTATTATAACAAGGAAATATTCATGTATTTTTGCCCATGCTAACTCATCTGTAGGATGTTTTCTCGTTCATTCTATCTTTGTTTATGAATTAAATGATAATTTGACACATACACCAATAGGATGTTTTTAAGTTCTGTCTTTTGCTTGTATCATACATTGTTAAGATGTACAAGAAATGTTTCATATATTTACATGTAGTTAATTAGATATTCAAAGCACATAATATTCATAATATAACTGTAAGATACTTAAAAATAGTCTTGGTATTCTTGAAATGGCTCCATGATACTCATTCTTTACCACTCAATAATTCAGATCAATAATTCATGTCCAACTTAGGCATTTGAGTGTGAAAAGCTAATCTAATATGAAGCCATCTGATGCCCTCTTAGAACTTTTCATCCTCCTCAATTAAAAATAAAACACTATATAAGACCTTGAAGGGCCAGGGTTGGACTGGACAGTGAGAAGGGATACTAAAAAAGTGAGGAGGGTGGAGATTTTGCTCCATCTTGTATATTTAATTCTAGATGTGTATTTCCAAAGCGATTTTTCTATAAGCCAGAAAAAGAATTTTAAATGAGGCAGGTGAAATACTTTCCATGTAGGGGAAGAAAGCTAGGGACTAGGAGTATTTTCAAAATAAGAAAGTAATGCTTACTAACTTTCCAAGGTCCTCTGAATATTTGAAGGATGACTTGGGTAAATGACAAGGGCTCTCTTTTCTCCTCACAGCTGGAAGACCCAGGGGAAGGCCAAGGCTCAGGTGCCCACATGATCAGCACAGCCAGGGTACCTGCAGATAAGCCAGTACGCATCGCCTTCAGCCTTGATAATGCCTCAGGTACGCTCTGCCCCCAGGGAAAGGGTCACCTCTTTACCATCATCTTTTCCTGTTCCACCAAGCGTGTTTAAAAATGCATGCCTGGCATGACCTAATGAGGGGAGTGTGATTTTTCATCACGCCTTGTTCGGGCGTGGCCTCCAGAAATGCCTCTGCTGATGCTTCCTCCATTTCCAATCCTCTGGTAGTTTTAGCACATTTCTTCTTCCTTTTTACTTCCCTCATTGAACTTTCTTTTATTACAAAGTACATGGAGCTATAACAACCTCTAACGCTTCCAACGTATGTCATTGTTGAAACTGTGTGAGGAAACATTTATAGAAGAGCTGGCAGTTGGTTAGGTAATATAAAAATATCACTGCCCTGGTTCCAGCAACATTTCCTGGAGCCCGAGTTCCAAATGCTGGTTTCCCACTGGTGCTCCCACACTTCCGGCTGAATCAACAGATTTCAGCCGGAGTGATGGATGGGACAGGTGAGGCAGACCCTCTCGAAATAGTAAGGTCTTAGGTGGAGCTGCCATACTCAGAGCCCTTTGTCATGGCTCCCTTCAGTGACCTCTTAACACACATATTGAATTACACCACCTATGACAGCGACCTCAGGTGGTGTGAGGTCACAGACGTGAGGAGGGGAATGATTGGAACTCTTTGACTAGCATCAGCCTTAGCTCTCAGTCTGTCATCTGTTAAAATCATGTAATCACGTGCTCAAACAACATTAGCATGTGCACCTTGAGTCTTTTGAGGGCTGATTCTGTTTATCAGTCCATCAGTCAACCAATCATCTCTTTTTCTTCCTACAACACCCATATAGGAGTAATATTTGCAAAAGTAATAATTGGAAAGGAACAAGTTTATCCCTAAAATAATGCAAAGTAAGGACTGGGCTCTGTGAGGTCTGACATGACACAGCCAGTTCAGGCTTTACTATACCAGGTGATTATGGCGGTGAGGCATCTGGCCCCATTTTCCTGGACCCTGCAGTCCGCAGTGAAGGATTTGCTCCAGAATAAGAACAAGTGAAGCCTGACTCTTCATCATCTCTTCTTTTGACCCTCTTCCCATGGCCTGTTCTTATCCTATATTTCTACTCAGGGGTTGCCTTGAAGTGCAGCGGTGAAGGGAAATGTTCCCAATAGGCAAATCAATCCATCCCAACAAAGAAATGACAGCTAACATTAATTGCATTCCCCTTTTGTATTAGGCATTCACATGTATTATTTCAAATCTTTAAAATAACCATGCAATAATATAGTGGTGGCTGGCTGAGTCAGTAGAGCTCGTGGCTCTTGATCTGGGGGTCGTGAGTTCGAGCCCCACTTTTGGTATAGAGATTTATTTATTTATTCCTCAAATAAATAAATAAATCTTAAAAAAAAATAACCATGCAATGTAGGCGTTAGTATTGCCAACTTACAGACACAGAACTTGGGGTTCAGAGTCCGCACTGTTAGTAGGTAACACAGTTCTGATCTAAGCTCAGGCCTCTAGACTTATGAATCTGAACCCTATGATTTTATATCACTTCTCTGAAAAGAAAAAGAAAAGCCCCTCCTGCTTTTATGCATTTCATAAATGCAGGATTTTGAGGAATAGTTCATACTTAAGTGGCTAGCTTTCAAGACAGGTACATGTAAGCCCCCAAATCCAGGGAGAAAGAGGTATAATATTCTTCCTTGTGATTGTGTCCCGGAACAAGCCTATGATAGTCAACAGCCTTACAAGGAAAATTTTAGTAGATAAACTTGTTTATTCCAAGCAATATTATTGTATCATAATTTTGGACGAGGCAAATAAATGTGCCATTTCCTTGTCTTTATTTTAACAGAATTTAATTAATGTAAAGAAAAGAGCTATGGAGAGGTGGATCTTGATATTTGGGCTGCATGAATAGACTCTTCCTTGAAGTACAAGATGTGCAGCTTGTGATTAATTTGCCACTATCCTTTGAAAGATATTGCCCCCTGACTGGGAGCGCTTGTGTGTTTTTTATCAATCAATTTAGATGGATTTGTTCCCATCTTTCAAATGTCCCAGAAATGCCCACTTTTGAAATTCATGTTGTTTTTGATACGGTAACTTCAAAAAGGGGCTGTCATTTATTTCAAGTAGTTCCACAAGAAGATGCTTGGGAAGATTTATAAAGAAATCTAAAATTAAAAAAAAAAATTCCCATCATCTATGTGTCCTCAGATCTCTAAAAAGGCATCTAACTAGAGAATCTAGTGCAGGAATGGGTCTCTGTGTTTCTCAGCTTTTCTTAAAATAATCATCTGAGAGCACTCATCAAAAATACATGTTCCCAAGCCCTACTCCTGTATATTCTTTTTTTCTTTTTAATGTTTATTACTATTGAGACAGAGAGAAACACAGCATGAGTTGGGGAGGGGCAGAGAGAGAGGGAGACACAGAAGCTGAAGCAGGCTCCAGGTTCTGAGCTGTCAGCACAGAGCCTGATGTGGGGCTCGAGCTCACAGACTGTGAGATCGTGACCTGAGCCAAAGCCGGACGCTCAACCGACTGAGCCACCCAGGTACCCCTCTACTCCTGTATATTCTTACGACACAGGTACAGATGGAGGCCTAGCGGTCTGTATTTTTGCGTGCAAATCAAGCTGTGTACAGAAAGATGCTTTGCAGATATTTGGAGACACTCCTTCTGCATTCTTGAATAAGGAGCAAGTGGAGTGTCACACTGAGCAACACTTGCCATCACACACACTGTGCATGCCTTTTGAATTCCAGTGCATTCTAGACCACACATTTAGGGGGAAACAAAGGGAGACATCCTAGACTTCCATGGTAAATGGGGAAGCTAAGATGGAATTTTGGGAAGTATTTCCATATTCATGGGTTTATTGCTGAGGGGTAAGCAGAGTCCATGGGAAAAGAGACATCTTTGCCTGTTAATATTAATTTATTCATTTCTTGTAAGCCTAATACAGTTATATTAAGTTCTATTAAGCTTTTTTGCATATTTTTGTATATCTTGCACATTTTTCTGAGATGATTTGGTGTAGAGGTTAAGAACATAGGCTTTGGAGTCAGGAAGATGTGGCTTCTAGACCCGTCTCCATTACTTTTCTTTGATCTTGGTGAAGTCACTCAATTTTGCTAAACTTCAGTTTCCCACAAGGTGTATACAGTGATAATTCACACTGTTGTTGGAAGAATTAAATAACACTACATAGGTAAAACATTTAGCATGGTGCTTGATATAGATGAGGTACTCAACTGGTCCTTGTATCTATGATAATTGATTCTGGAGTATTAAGGAAAATATAAACCACTGAAGCAATTTTACATCCCACCTGTATTTCCCACATCTACTTAATGTTAAGGTAGGGTTTATAAGCATAAATGGCCTGAGATCATTTAGGGACTAGTTATCCAATTGGTAGGTTCTGGGTATCCCCGCCTCACCTCTTATCAATGAGCTGAACTGAGTTTCGATGCTTCCAGCACTCTGCCAAAAGTGAGAGAGATGTGCAAAAGAGGAGTGTTGCATGATCCCTCATATGGGTTTCATTAGGCAAAGAGATTTGGGGAAAAATCCGTGTCACCAGGAGCAGATGGGGACAGCTTCTTGGGAGATGTGATAGTCAGCCTGGTCTTACAGATGGATAGGGTATTGTAAAGGAGAATTGGAAAGGTGCCATTTCTGGGTACCAAGCACAAAAAATGGGGGCTATATACTTTTAACATTTCTTCCTTTTCCTCCCAAACAGAAGGGCTGAGCAAAAACCTAAGAGTCAGGAATTTCGAGAAATTTTACTATTCAACAAATAGTAAAATTCTTGTCAACTGGAGCAGAGGTCTGGACGGAGGAAGAGTAGCATACCATTTAAATGAGCCCTGCTTTGAGCCTTACATTGACTAACTGTTTACATAGCCATAGACTAAAGTTAACAATATAATCCTAAAAGTTCCACAATAGAGTTTGGGTTTGATCAGAAACAATCGAGTGCCAAAAGTTCTTGAGCAAAGGGGTGATAAGATGAAAATGGTAAATGTTCCATTGGTGGCATATCTGGAGTATGTAGAGATGAGAGAATGGATGAGGCTTTTTATAATGGTACAGAGACAAAGTACTCGGTGTCTGGATCAGACAACAGAATGACATCACTGAATTCAGAGTACACTATGAAAGAAGAGTTGAAAGGACTTGGTGAGAGAGGGAGACAAACCAGAAGAGACTCTTAAATACAGAGAACAAACTGAGGGTTGCTAGAAGGGGATGGGGTGGGGGATGGGCTAAATGGGTGATGGGCATGAAGGAGGGCACTCGGGATGAGCACTGGGTGTTATATGTAAGTGATGAATCACTAAATTCTACTCCTGAAATCATTATTACACTATATGTTAACTAACTTGGATTTAAATAAAATTTAAAAATTAAAAAAATAAAAGAAAATGGTAGAGCCGGGGCTCAAACCAGGGTCTCTTTGGCACGGATATCCTTTAAACAATTCCGCATTGCCCTTGGTGGGCTAGAAACATTGCAACTTATTGATCTGTCTCTTTTTGGGTACATTGCATACAGTGATTGGAAAGAAAGCAAGGGTTATAAATGCACATCTTTCTATCTCTCACAAAGCGTGCATGATCTTGCTTAAACCAGTCTTATTCTATGTAGCAAGAAATTGCTAAAGGACGGGGGATAGTGGTAAAGCTTAATTCCAAGAAATTCTAGAATTGCTTTTAAAAAAAAAAGGACTTGGTCCCGGCAGATGGGAAGTTTATCATTGTTTATTGATTGAGAGCAGAATGAGACACAACATTCCAAATAGACCATGGACCTCTAGGAGCTTAAATAAAGGAAATTTTTAGGGGAGGGGAACCAAAAGCTTTTTAAAATACAATCCCCTCTTCTAGCTTATCATCAGAACCCTTTGTTAAGTAACACTTAGCTAACTGTAATTCTTGGAGGTAGCAATGGCTATCTTTAATAAGCTAATAATCTGATTGACATTATTTCCAAACTGGGAATTCCAAAGAG